AAACAAATATACGCGATTTAAATCCGGAAAAATAGTTTCATTTCCTATGTGTAACAATCGCGAAAACCTAAGAACTCGATATGGTTTTCATCTACTTCATGAAAATCATCTAACAACGTGTTATCTATATATATAGATGTTTTAAAGATAACACATTGTTCTGGCAAACGGGCATAAAGAGGCTGTATGTTAGAACCTTTGCCTACCCTAATAAATGGATTAAAATTAAAAAAAAAAGTTGTTAGTTGTCAGGAATTGTTAACAAAATATACATTAACTATTGGTTCTGTTCCATTATTTTGTTACTCGTAAGTAAAAGCATTGTATGCAATCACTGCATAATTAGGTCTTAAAATCTCTTATCTATTACTTAGGCCATTCGGCAAAGCCTCGTGGCTATTTATTTAGCTATTACGTTTTAACTTAAATGAGCGTCTCCGGCGCTCGGGCGAGACGGGATTGTCTTTGGTCTATTCCGAGGTTCATCCGCGCGGTTGGTTTATTCGGAGGACTTTAAATGTTGTTGCCTAGTAAATATAATTCAGATTCGCCAGTAATATACGTGAAAGCGTGGCGGCCGCACGAGAACTTACGCGTCGTGTAACTGATGGGCGCTTGTAGATCTGTGTACAGGTACTGAAACTGTGTACCTATAATGAAATTTTTCAGTACATTAGCGAGTACCATAGGTAATAGAATTTTGGTGCAGCTAAAATCAGCTAAAAAGAGCGCCTTTGTGATATGGTTTATGAAATTATAATTGACAGATAGTTGTAGAAAAAAAATGTAACTCTTTGTAATCATCTCAAAAAAATTTCACGGAATTGCACGAATCAATCCCCCCTTCCCTTTTCCTTCATCTGGGGATCTCCTCTATGTTGTGAATATTCCAAGGATTCTCACGAAGCGTTCGATTAAAAAAAAATCAACATTAGCGTCGGTTGTTGAGCGACCCTAGTATTTGATGCATGCGACGACAAGAACGTTTGGCTCAGATCCGACGTTAACAGCGCCCGATGATGACTGTCGGGGTAGCGGACGGCACGGTGCGTCGTCAAACCACTGCGCAATTTTCAAGTTTTGAAATAAATATGAATTTAATAACTGTAGGTCTTTATTTTAACACAAAATTTAGCAAGTTCTCTGTGGTATTGAAAGAAAAATATCTCCATATATAAATTTAGTACAATTTATACATATTTCATTCTTGAATTTATTCATTTTAGACTTGTATTTTAGTTTCTTCTCGGGATTTTATTTGATCGAGTAAAGTACATCCTATCATATAACAAATTCGCACATTCTTTAGACAACGTCTTTGTCTACACACATATCATAAACCTTAGAATAATAACGCATAGAAACCTAGTCCACACACGCTAAATGAGGCAAATTGAAGCGCGCCAAAAGGGCCTACACGAGCGGGCGGGCCGTCAGTGCTCAAGGTCAAGTTGCACCGCGAACAGATCAAGAATTTTAGCTAAAAATGGCGAAATGTGCGGTAAATGAGTGTAAAAATACGTCAGACAAACATAAAATAGATACTAACATCACATTCCACAAGGAAGTAACGCGTTTCAAATTGTATTTTTATATAAATATTCACTAAAACCGAAAATTAACCTACTACTAAAACTAGCCTACATGAATTGGATTTTTGCCTCAATTGTGACAGTTCGTTTGATATGAAACTATCATTCTATGCGTTATTATTCTAAGTCATAAACACTCTGTGATGTGTTCAAAAACCGCAAATTATAACCAACATAAAGATAAACTGTTTTGTTAGAACAAATTTCTTATCTGTGAAAACGTTGTCATTGCTTCTTATTAACATCAAATTTGATTTTATTACTACATTCAAATTTCGAAACATCTCTGAAAAACAAAACTATTTGTTCCACCTCAATTCTAATATCAGTCGAGATGTAGTTTTATTCGAAATGAAATGTCAATAGCAAACAATTTTGACGAATTTCACACGTTACTTGATATCCAACGATACGATAGCTGGGGCCGACTCTAGTTTGATTATGAATTTAAAAAAACTACGGTTGCGTGACATGCGTAAGGTTTTTATTTGCCGCCATTTCGCCAGTCGTAACACGCGGTTCCCGAACACATCACACTTTTAATATGTGTGTAGATAAAGCAGTGTATCTAACTGTACATAATTAGGCATTAAAACACTCGTATTTTAATGCCTTTCATTAGGTGTATCGTATATTTCTTCTAAGATCGTTATTTAATAGTAAATACCAAAACAATTTGACCTAGCGAAACAGTTTTTCCCGCTGCTCTGGGGACTTGCTTTAAAATTAATCTAAATGTTGTGAGCTGTTTTAATATTTCCACTTCTCCCAAAAGTCCCAGTCGTCTTCAGGTTCGGGAGTTGCTTTTTCCCCATCTGCGTTTTTAGCCGGAGTGGTCTCTGCAACGGTTGTAGCCGTAGTCGTAGTAGTAGCAACTGTAGTCGTAGCCTCTTCACTGCTGTTTTCAGGTTCGCTCTCACTAGTCTCCTTTGGTTCTGGATGGTCTTTTCCACAATGGTCTTTCCACGGCTTGAGACTCATTGACGGGATCTTTGAGCAGCTTACGATTTCATTTCTGGAACAAAAGTATGCAAAGAATGAGATGCCGTGCCATCTACTTTTGGATACGAAAATTCTGCCTTTGGAAAAGAGAAAGCCCCAAGATATATTACAAACATCCACAGATATATTACGTACATACCCACAGACCTGAAAAGTTGAAACGTTTAATACCCGACTAAGGGTTGAAACACAAAAGTGCGATGCGACGTCGCATTGCAGAAATCCACGAGCTCGCACGACGCATCGCAAGAATTTGCGAATTCCTCCGCATCGCGCATTCCTGCGATGTTAATCTTCCGTTTTTTTCCTATACTTTCTTATCAATAACAGCAGTGTAACCATTGACTTACAATTATATGGACGTCGGGTCCGCGCTAAAAAGTGTCCGAACTTATAGGGCGTTAAAATCATATACAGAGCGTCATTCACGCTTTAGTCTTCGTTTGTTCGACTGACAGCGAAGCAAGCAAAATTAGACAGTACTGCGATGACATTACAATTTAAATTCAACGTTTTAGCTTTTTCATATTCCTTTACATGTCACTACGTTTAAATAGGTTGACTTGGGGCATTTTTATCGTGGTTTTTGTATTAGACCCGTCGTCCATTTATTTGTAAGTCAATGAGTGCAACACTCTTTTTACGATCCATGTCGGTACCTAGTTTAAAAAATACGTTCAGTACAGTTGACGGTCGTCGAAGGAATGGTTACCTGAACCGTGGCAGTGGCAGAATTCGCGTTGTGTCACAGTGTCCGTGAGTTTCTTTCCAAGACTTCGTTGTATTTAGACAAGAAGTAGTTATACTAATTTATTTTATATTTAGTATTATTGTTTGCGTTACTTACGATCATATTATCCCTTGACATTGTATATGACTCTGATAATATGAAATTTATATTTTTGCCATCATGCATTTTACAACATTTTAGTTCGAGTTGTATTATCCATGGAAGAATAGCTGGGCATGGTTATATAAATAATCTAAGTATTAAAAAAACAGACCTCAAAAGTAATTCATGCCCTAGTTTGCCACCCTTAGAGGTGGAATATTTTCTTTAAATTTAAATGGGACCAATACTGAGGTACCCTCTTTCCAACAAAAAAAAAGAATCATCGTAATCGGTTCACCAATTATCGCGTAACCATCCAGTATAGAGAAATAGAGACGAAAAGTCATTTAATTTGTTTGAAAACTATTCTGCCATATTATTACTGTGACAACTATGCTCCGATTGGCCAGCCCGAATTCGAAACAATTGACGGGTGTCGTCAATTGTTCCACTTCAATGCGACCAGTTAACTTGAGCTTTGCTATAATGGACGAAAGTTGTAACATTACATATTTAATATTTAATTACCGATGAAATTTGATTCCATTTGTTTTGTAATTGGATGTTTTGCTGTTTCTCCCAACACCACCGAATGGAACAGCGCGCCATTGTTAGAGATATTATCTTTATTACAATAAATACAGAATATTTTTGGAATATACGGAGACGTACACTCAGGTCAGTTGTTGGCGCTGTCTATAGTTCCGTGCAAACGAGAATTGATATTTATAAGTGAAGTTCTTAGGTTTTCGCGATTGTTACACATAGGAAATGAAACTATTTTTCCGGATTCAAATCGCGTATATTTGTTTTTTCAAACAAACCGACGTTTCGGGCCCTTTACAGGTCCCATGGTCACTGACTTGAGTCAGTCAACCGTGAGTCAAACAAATATACGCGATTTAAATCCGGAAAAATAGTTTCATTTCCTATTTATAAGTGATTTATCACTGATGAGTTAGTTGCCAGAAATGTATGGCCCTTATTTCGTCTTTATTTCTGGTTATATACCCGAGGCGCGAAACATGCATACAAAAAAAAAACGTTAAAAAATTTATTTAGTCGCAAATGTGATAAAAAACGTTGTATGTAGCACGGGCGGTAAAAAATTAGACTCAGAGTTAGTATTTTTTTTTACCGCCCCTATTACGCAATGCACTATTCTATCTCACCCTTCATCTGGCAAGAAGAACATCTTGGGCTGGATTTCGTTGACGTCGTCACCGTTGTCGCATACGATACTCGACATCGTTGCTTTCCTAATCTCTAGCAGTTGTTCTGTAAAACAGTACATTGTTATTTGGAAGCATGTTCATAATAGCGCAATCTCAGAATCTTGAGATTTATTACATAGATAACTAATAATGCCTATTCACTCTCGCTTTGATAATGTCCAAGTTATAACGTTCAGGGGACAAGTCTGCAGGCAGGGAATTCCACTCCATAGCCGTTCGCCATATCGACTCATCCGTAGAACAAAGATCTATGTGCAAGGCTACTTGTTCTCAGGACATACTACATTTCGTTCGTTCTTCTTCGCTGTGGATGTCAGATCGACCGTTTCGCTCGATTTAATATTTCCGAAATTAAATAAGATATAAAAATTCTCAAAACACCTTAAACGTAGGCCTTAGTTTGAATAAGGAAATTATTCTCGTAACGCACTTATTCTCTTTTCACATCGGACTCTGTTCTTCGGATGAGTCGATATAAATGTGGAAGCGTAACACTTCGTAGGAATTCTTGGAACATTCACAACATAGGAGTGGAACCCCAGCCTACGCCTGGTCCCCTGATGATGGAAAGGCGGAATTAATTCGTTCAATTCTCTTGCACACTCTCCGTGATATTATATCCTGTAGAATACCGATAAGCAGGCAACTTTACGGCGGTGTTTTAAGGCTTTGCAGCTTCGCCTCTATAGGCATCTTGGCACGCTAGTCGATTAAACCCTCCAGCTCATTCATAAGGCAGATTTCCCTGAGAAGAATGAGCAAGAAACTCTAGGGATTGCTCTTTGCAAATACACATTTGAATACATTTATCATTACAATATTTAATTGATCGAGAATACCTGCAAGAGCTAAATGGGTCACTACCACGGATTTTTGTCATCCAAGCGGAAGCTTTATTATAAAAATTTTGAATATCAATCGGAGTTTTTTCAGAAGCGTATACATTACCCCTTAAATGAATTTGAAACTTTGTGATAACGACAGTTAAAAAACAGCTAGTTTATTTTTATTCCTCGTATTAACGTTATGTCTCGCTATTACTGATGAAAAAATTGATTGAATTTTGATTTTAACATAAATAACACGGTAATGGTATTTGCTACCGTCTCTTAACCCCTTCATGGACAGTAACGGCGTTTACCGTAAAATTAAAAATTCGAATATGGACAGTACGATCAGTATCCAGTTTCGATATATGGATCTTATAAAAACTACTACGGGCTTTACCGTGTGAATTCACACAGTCTTAGCCCCGCACTAGGGAAACCCTGTGTCGCGTATGCCGTGGGCACTTACATAGACAATAACAAATTACACCCAAAGTTACAAGAGTGAGGTCACGGAGGCAGTTAAATTATATGTATCTTAAATTCTATTTCTATTTTCATCGCAAATATGCTCCCGTCATCTCCTAATTACCCCATTTAAAACTGGTTTGCAACATCTGAACCCGGGGTCAGTTTTAAGTTGCAATGACCCCAAATGAGAGCGAAAAATAGTTAAATTTAAATCGCGTGCAATCCCGGGTTCAGTTGCACCTCGAGAGATGACATTAAATTTGTATCGCTTGAACCCGAATTCTTTTAGGAAATTGGTCTCACCTTTAGTGAAAGCTCCAGGATGCTGATTGTTCTCATACCAGAAGCGATCAGACTTTCTCCACCACCAGAGCTGTTCAGCAACTATGCACTTCGCGGTTGGAGGCAATGTGCCTTCCAACTTCTCCCCCATGATTCCTGGATGAAGTTCTATATCTTCCACTTTTTCATATCTGAAGCGAAGGGAATCTACTTTCTGAAAACGTTATTGGTCTCGATTACTATGCTATATTCATCTCTATTTTCCTATCATTAAGGTACAAATTTGTGTTATGCAAATATGGAAACGGGCGTCGATGCACGTCACTTGAACGCAGTGACGCCTCAGACGCCGACACTGTGATCCGGGCGCACTAAAGTGTCATCTAAACAGGACGCGACGCGACGCTTCGACTCTGCGCCTGTGTGAATTGAGCCTTAGTGGTACTAAATTAAGTGGAAAATGTAACCAGGCTATTGGTTGGTTTTCTGTAAAGAGCTGTCAAAATCTAGAATTAAAAACAGTTTCTTTTAACCTGTAATTTCCAGAAAATCGCTAATAGCCGATACTACCTTAGCTCGAATTCGAGGGTTCATTTCGCGACAGGGTCACTGGCTTTATTTCGGAATTTATTTTTTACAAACCAAAGTTAAGCCGTTTGAAAAACGTATATCGTATAGTATACATGTTCTATTTACTTCAGTTGATATTAAAAAATATCCAGCTATTTAGATTGAACACTGCTAGACATACTTAAACTGCGTCTAAATTTGACATCTTCAAATTGCGTAACCGATAATAAATTTTGTTATGCAAAATAAGTTAAAAAATCACCGTAGACGAGGTTTAAGTTAGACAAAGTTTTGTATGTGGCTATTGTTAGATTGAGTTTGTGTTTAAGTGAGATGCATTGTCTACTTGCGTATTCTTCGTTTGCCAATTTAAGCGCTAATAAAATCCTTATTCATTATAATAATATACAGCTTTGAATACGTTTTTTTGTCTATCGTGACAATATTTACGAATCGTGTTTTCACACCGTAATTAGTATACCTATTCAACACTCACTGTTATGCGCAATCAACTAAAGCCGTTTGAGGTTGCATAAACTCTTAAGGATTTTTAATACTATGTAACGTAAAACGGATTTGAATCCCTCGGAACGGACTTTTATGTAAATGTTTTGGCTACTTTGCTAGTGGCCAATGCCATTAAAAATTTATTGACAGATCAAATGTCAATGTCATTGTTACAATCTAATTAGATTCGCTCTGGACCTTTTGGAGGGAAAAGTGTCGTTTTTATTTTGACTTTCAATTATTTTGTGAAATCTAGTTTAAAGTGGAATAGGATAGTGCTATTGTGCCATAATCGAAGATTAAAACGCGAAATTATACGAATCTCGAACTAAAATACCCGCATCGGCCCGTTTTAAGGAATCCCGAGTCAATCCAAGCACGCCGCCTCAATTTGCCTATCCCCTTTGTGGCGGCCATATTTACAGAAACATAATTAAACTTCATGTTTAGGCTGATAGCTTTGCCAAAGCCTTAATAAATTAAATAAAAACAATCTAATTAGCCAATTGTCATCAAGCATTTCAATATTTCACCGTTTAAGTGTTGCTGCGTTTTGGATTTTAGTGTCGCAGTGTTGCTGATAATTATTTAAACATGTCTACCACACTTTTATTATTATCCTGCAAAGCTCTTTTATTTCAAGCTAGGAAAAAAGGTGAGCCAATACTCGAAGACGTCCACACAAAAATATAATATATATACATTGACTTACAATTATATGGACGTCGGGTGCGCGCTAAAAAGTGTCCGAACTTATAGGGCGTTAAAATCGTATACATAGCGTCATTCACGCTTTAGTCTTCGTTTGTTTCTTCTGACAGCGAAGCAAGCAAAATTAGACAGTACTGCGATGAAATTACAATTTAAATTCAACGTTTTAGCTTTTTCATATTCCTTTAAATGTCACTACGTTTGAATAGGTTGACTTGGGACACTTTTTTCGTGGTTTTTGTATTAGACCCGTCGTCCATTTATTTGTAAATCAATGTATATATATATATATATATATAATATACTACTTGCAATAAAGCATCCTCTGTTGCACGAGTCCGTACTTCGGAGCGAGCTCTTGGTGTAATATTATTATTATGTTTTACTTTAACAATAATAATAAATAAATAATTTATTTGGCATCAACTTATGACTATTGTTAGTAAACACAGAAACAAAACATAAAAACACACATAATTCCGCTCGAAGCGCCGCCGACTACCCCATCACCTCACCAGAACCTGGACGAAGCATCGGCGCATCGACCTTAGACGCAAACGTTTTCAGGATGCTGTTTGGACTAGAACGCAGTCTAGAATCTTTTTTCGAATCACAGCAAAAAGTCTTCTACTCCCGCTTGAGCAAACATCGACGATTCGTTACTAAGTGGCGGTAATCCCAACAGCCTCATTAATGTCAATATGTAAATACTGTATTTGACAAAGGTTAGGTTCAATATAGCACGAAAACACTGCGATGAATACTTTTTTTCCAAATTATGTTTACAACCTGTAGGTACAACTGAAATAATAATGTGGCAACCCTGCGCTCCCAGTTAAGTGTAGGTATTGATGCGCCGAACAGGCAAGAGTTCCCCCTCTTGGTCTTATCATACTGTGATCGTATTATCCTGTCACGCTCGTAGGGTACAATATACGGACCTTCTTTCCCTCGCATCACTCCTCGTACACACTCACCTCTGCAGGCATCCATTCCAAAAGATCGTCAAACTTCTTAGGCACTTTCAATTTGCAAAACTTCCTATATTCCACGTATGGCGGCACCGCAGCCTCTCGGCCCCTCTGGATGTCTATCGACGCGATATCGGATACCGCTTGGAGACTTCCCAGGACTCTTTCACCCATCTGTTGAGGAAGAATTCTTTTTAATGACCCGCACGTTACATTCCATAGGTCTTCTTTAAGAAATTTTATAGGTAATGTCCTTTTGGAACCCATATTATTGGTAACAAAGAAAACCACTAACAATTTATCTAGAAGATGGGCAGCAGCGTCTCCCTGTGCAGCTGAAGGTAGTCACATTTTTTGCACACTGCATCCAATTTGTATTCTATACTCCTTCCAACCATTTATTTAACTTTTGACAGATCGAATTAATGATTTAATGTTAATGAGGATTCATTATAATACGAGTATATTAGACCGGTACCAAAACTAATCAGCTTGACTAATCCTCGTTACGTAATCTAGCGGCTCGACAAATATCGGAGCTAAAGGGCACATCACTAAAATTAAAAAATAAAAGATTCCAGGAAGTATTGCGTTTGTTGTCTATGGTTGGTGCACAAGCGACATCAGAAGTGGGTCCGAGTTTTCTAGACTTGTATAATCTCGGATTCGAAACTAATATCGATAAATATATAAATATAAAACGAAAGACGCGACGTCTTTCGTTTTCTAAACGGTACAAACCGATGCTGAGTGTATAAAGGACTTACTGTGAATGATCTACTGGGTTCCCAGTTTGGTGATCAATATAGTTATTAATAAAGACTCACGTTTATCCGTAATCTCACCTAATGGAAAATGATGTGGCCGACAGTAATAATACACTTACGTTCAGAAATGCCTCAACGTGACCTTGAAGACATTCAGGGTGTGGCATTCGAAAAATACAGAATTAAAAGTCGATACTTCCTCTGCTTGGATTCAAATTTTTCCCGTACTGAATCAGTTCTGACTCTGGCTTTATTTCCGAATTTAATTTTTTTTAAATAACGAAATTAGAGCCATTTGAAAAATGTACAAGAAAAATCATTGGTATATGTAAAGGACCTATTCTATACAGCGGTTTTCTTGTAAAATTTCGAAGTAAGTTTGTGTTTTTTTTCTATCGTGAAAATATTTAGGAATGGTGTTTTCACACCGTATACTTATCAGTGTATATCTTCAATTTTACTATATACTTTTTCCAAAGTTGTATAGACTCTTAACCTGAGTTCCCGTAACTGTTCACACTAAACCAAAGAACAGCGTTGAACTAAACTATAATTATCAAACACGACCATAGACCTCTCCAAAAAACTGACATAGCGCGACCTTGAGACATTAGCGTCTGTGGGCTGCCTTAAACATGCTGATATTTATAACACTCACTTCAGGGTCAATAACATAGTCAGCTTTCGCACTGCCCTGCCTGAAGAAACCCTGGGTGATGCCCTCGATGGTATTGTTGAGTGGCAAGGCTCCTGTGCGGAGATTGTAGTCCACTATGTTCAGCTCTTGAAGAAGTTTTCCTTTCTGAGAGTATTTACTAAAAACATAATTATGTAAATATGGAGAAGTACAAGAGGGGTGATGGTAAAGTTTGCAGAAGAAAAATGGAGTACGACACACCAAATGCGAATTTGATGGCCAAATGGCAACAACACGGAAATTGTAAGGTTCATATATCCTCAAAAACGGCATATATTAAAATTTTTAGAAGAACTTTTAAGAGGGAATATGGCAAAAAGTTTTGACGTTGACTCCGCCCAAATTTGTGAAACAAATATATGCCTGAAGTTCGCGTGACATGCGACAGGAGATGTTGAATTTTGCACATTAAAAGTACCAAATTCGTTTTAGCGGAATAACTCTAAAACTAAAGGGATTAAAAAAAATCCGTAGTGACAGTTCGTTAGTGAAAATTAGAGGTCATTTCGTGATTTTTATCTACCGAGGAAACTTTATTGTTTTATGTTTCTGATTAATGTCTATGCTTGAATAGAATATATCGTGTAGTTACTCATACAATATTTTATTTTTAACTTTAAAGTGTACATACCCCTCTAAAATCAAATCGAAGATTAGGAATTATTCCTCTGCTCCCTCTTAACTGCTTTCGTGGCCGAACGAGGTCTCGGGTTCGATTTTTATTTCTCTCGGGTGTATTTTGTGGCTGTCTACACGTGTCTCCATGGCACCAGCGATACAGGGATTAAGAAAAGAAGAATGAAACCAAAACGGAGTATGTAATAATGTGAAACATACTTAAGCCGACCATCCTGCATGTTATGGAACCATCTTGTTGTGAGGATGTACTCGATGCTAAGTAGAGGCTCCAATTTGGGGTCGTAGTCGTTGATGTGTCCTTTTGTGTCGTAAATTATCTCCTTCTCTTTGAGGTAATCATACCCTGTAACATTTTATGTGATAGGAATTGCTTTATGATTAGCTAAAATCGCAATTAGTACACAGAAAAAAAGGATTTCTACTAATAAGAAAGAGCAATTTCTCAAAATGTTTGCTAATTCTGAAAAAATATTTATTAAAAGCATTGACTTACAATTATATGGACGTCTGGCGCGCTAAAAAGTGTCCGAACTTATAGGGCGTTAAAATCGTATACAGAGCGTCATTCACGCTTTAGTCTTCGTTTGTTCGATCAGACAGTACTGCGATGACATTACAATTTAAATTCAACGTTTTAGCTTTTTCATATTCCTTTACATGTCACTACGTTTAAATAGGTTGACTTGGTACATTTTTTTCGTGGTTTTTGTATTAGACCCGTCGTCCATTTATTTGTAAGTCAATGATTAAAAGTAATAAAATATTGTCATTACAAAAATACTGCTTATCTAGTTCTAATACAATTTTACTCTTAACTTTATTCTAACTTTTAGACAAATACCTTCACTTCAAGATTTTATTTAATTTCTAATCAATTAATTTGACATTACTTACATCAAGAAATTTTTACCTCTTACATCAAATTTAAATAATCTAATCTGTTGGGTCCATAATCCCTGTAAATTTACGCTTTTTGATATTAGAAAACATAAATCTTCAGTCAAATAATTAATTACCTCTCAATTTTCCATTCTTTTTTTTTTTTCAAGTCAAAATCGGACATTTCTAATAACAAATAAATATTTTGTTGAATCTAGAGTGGTTTTGTGACTTGAAGTAAATTAATTTGCTCTTGGATTAAATATTTCTGTCTTATAACTAAAATACACTTTTGAGACGTTTTTTTACTATTATCAAGTAATTATTCTCTAGCGTCTATAGGGAGAGGATCGTTTTGTTGGATTTAATAAATTTGTCTTCATAAAAAGAATTTTGTCTTTTTCTAAGTAATCTGTTTGTACCGTCTAGTAGTAGGACTGGAAATCTGCATACTTCACTTTTCATTTTTATGGTACCGCCGTTACATAGAATGATGATTTTGCCAAAGTCACGGTGGAAAGAAAAATGATCAGAATACAAAAAAATATACTGAGTTCTATTATGACATTAACCGGTGTTGATGGATTGGTTCACGGAGTACTCAGGTGACATCTCCATACTAAAATTAACTCTGAAAAGGGTCAAATATCCGTCTTATGTCTAGATGGCGCGGTAACCTATCACAAACTCGAATTTTTGTTTCCGAAATAATTTTTATTCGAATTTTCATTAAACCGGAAACCGAATTATAACGAAACCGTTGCTATGTTGGATGTTTATCGCAAAGACACGATTAGGTTCGGTTAGGTTTAAAAGAAAATTGCCCAGAATAGAGGGGCCCGGGATGGAAGGCTCGTCTAGTGTTCGGCGAGGCTCACATTCGAAGTCGGGGGACCGATGTGTCTCCCTTCTCGGGGAGGGGCTGCGCAGGGCGCGGCCAGCCACTGGTGGGGGCGCGGACGAGTGCTATAGCTAATAAAACTAGCAAATAAAATTACTTTCGATGTTATGAAAATTCGAGCAAACGTTGTTTCTGGAAAAATATTTCGAACTACTGATAGGTAACCAGATGGCGCTGATCGATAGCCTGGCTGTAGTTTATGTTATGTAAAAGGCTGTGGATATCAATTAATCTGACCGTCAGGATGGCTGGTCGCCTGTGGCGTCTGGCACTGAGTGTATAATCAAGTATTGCTACCTATTTGCTACCTTTTCTAACTAATTGCTACCTTTGATATATATTCTGAGAAATTTAAAAAAATAATTGACCAGCCATTCTGACATCAGGATGGCTGGTCGCCACTTTATTCAGCATGAAGAGCAGGTGAAGACACTTACCTAAAAGTTGCGCAAACATCTCATAATACCAGATCTGGTTGAGGATAGCAATTTGTATTTCCCTGACCGTCGAAAATATTAGCTCGTCGTTCCAGCAGGGGTTCATTAGTTCCAGCTGGCGGGCCAATCTGTTATGGTTCCGGTAAAGCCAGATTATGAACACGTTGTCTTGTATTAACAGGTTGCTTATTAAGCTAGCTGGAAGAAGAGCAAAGTCATTGATTCTACAGGGTGTAACAGAAAGGTTTAACCATATTTGAAAGTCGTACTCAGTTAATGGTATAAAACTAATTGGCAAAGTTTTAGTACGCACTATATTATTTGCGGTTTGATCAGCTGATGTCATTGAACGAAAATAAAAAGTCACTTCCCATCACTATTCGGAGCCAAATATAGTAAAGGCGACTTTCATCTCGAAATCGCAATTCGCCAGCGACCGAAAAGCGATCCCCTACAAAAATATCGCAGTTTTGTCATCGCTTGAGTATCATAATAAAACCAAATTACATAACTTAAAAAAATTGTGAAATTCAGGCCTATCACTGTTAATTTATAAATTATTAATGTTACATTTTTGTTATTATGTTATAATTTATTAAATCGATTTTTATTTTATTCATGTAATTTGTGTATGAACGTAGTTACGGGTATAGTCTGTCTTTTTTGAAGAGTTTAAAAAAAAGATTGTCATATGTTTGCTATTACATTAGTTCTTTAATTTGTTGGATGTGCTTTCACCGCATATACTTACGGGAATCGTGGCATCTAGTCTCGCCTTGGGTTAATTGGTTCTGGACGCATATGTACGACCCAGATGGAGGCCATTCTTTGCCATTGACAAATTCCGTCTTGAGCCTACCACCGCGCATTTCCCTTCCTCGCACCATTCGAGTCTCGGTATCGCCGTATAAATTTGAAAGCTCTAATTGCGGAGGTGCCAGGTTGATCTGAGGAGGTTTAATTGAGTTTATTGCACAGGAATACAAACATCGAGTATATAACCAGAAATAGAGACGAAACAAGGGCCATCCATCCCTGGCAACTCATCGGGCAAATGGGCTTATGTCACTTATCAATATCAGCTGTCGTTTACGCTGAAATCACAAATTAGAAAGCTGAAATAGTACAGCGCCAACAACTGACCCATGTGTACGCCTCCGTATATTCCAAAACTATCATGTATTTATTGCAATAAAGATAATATTCCTAAAAATGGGGGCTGTTCCATGCGGTGGTGTGGGAAAAACAGCAAAAGATCTAATTACAAAACAAACGGAATCACATGTTATCGGTAATTAAATATTAATCAAGTAAATCTGGTCAATTTGAAGTGAAACTATTGACGACACCCGTCGATTGTTTCGAATTCAAAGCAAACAAAGCCGTATTGCCGGTCAACCATCCAGAAGTGGAGAGGCGCTTTAAAAATAATAACGCACACACTCAATATAGCCCCGCACTAGGAAAACCCGGGTCGCGGGTGCCATGGACACACACATAGACAACCACAAATTACACTCACGAGAGACATAAATGTAGACCATACACATATTTCTTCCGGCCTGGGAATCAAACCCAGGACCTCTGCGTGGCCGTCCGGTATGGTAACCGTTCGGCCACTGAGGCAGTTAAAAGAAGAAGATACTCATAGTACAGGAGTGTCTCAGTGCACAAAATCTTTTTCAACTTACTCTTTCTGGAGGCAACGTCGGCGGAGCGCATCCCAAATCTTGATAGGTTATAGGCCTTGTGAGGTTGATACATCGAGTTGTGCTATAGCGAAGATGGATGTCGTTGTTAGGGACGTAGATCGGTCGGCAGCGGGGATCAGAATCGCCTGTAATAGAAACAAAGGGTGGAGATGCAAAGACGTGTAGTTGTGGTGAAGTCTGGTTGCTGGCAGCGAATGTGTAAAAGTGCGACCAAGGCACATGGGACTTGTCAACTTATGTCTCAGGGTGACGGGCGCAGTGGCAGTGCCCCTAAGATCTTTGCGATTTAAAGCTCTGAATGGCACTGCAACTGTTATGGGCAGGCGTGTAGCTTACCATCAGGCGCACGCATTGTTCGTCCCGTCACTTGATATTATAAAAAAAAACTGCTTGGCGGCAGAAATAGGTAAGATGGCAATACTTCCCTGGAAGAACTCTTTCATAAGGAGCTGCACTGCTAGTTAACCTACAATCAGCAAGAAGCGTTCATGAACAACATGATGACGTTACTCACCTGTGACGCAGCAAGTAGGCGTGAAAACAACGTAGTTGAAAATATCATGGACAGTAGTGCTGTCTGTGGTGACAATGAGTAAACCACCCATTAACTGCGAAGTCCACTTTTTGTCTGCAACACGCCCGTCGGATAATAGAGAGGTGCGGACTGCGCGGGCGCTGGGCAAAGGCGTTCCTATTGAAAAAAACAATCATTATCAACAACCCATTTATACGTCCACTGCTGGGTAAGGGTCTCTTTTCTGGCGAGAGTGTATGTGTGCACGGTTCACGGCGCACAAATTCGCATAACAATAAAAGGCGCGTTGGATGACCAGCTCAGAAAAAAAAACAATGGAAGTGCCCTAAGACTCGATCACTACATAATAATAACGCACACACTCAACATAGCCCCGCACTAGGGAAACCCTGTGTCGCGGGTGCCATGGACACACACATAGACAACCACAAATTACACCCAAACTCACGAGAGAAATAACTGTAGGTCATACAAATATTTCTTCCGGCCCGGTAGTCGAACCTGGGACCTCTGCGTGGCAGTCCGGCACGGTAACCGTTCGGCCACGGAGGCAGTTAACTATCACGCTATTTATTGATTCGCAAACTTTACTCTTTTTTAAATCCAATTTGTATTCTTAAATCACAAACATACATAGCCATTTACAAAGTTATCTACATTTATGTCATTTTTACACTCGAAAACAGCACAATAAGGCAATTTAGAGAATTTGCGTGAAAAAATTGACACAACCCTACATACAAACATACAAAACGAAAATGGCGGACTGAACTCAAGGAAGCAAAACTATGCCTACAGTTGGCACGCGTACTACGCCATCTAGCCTCTGTATTTATTGTCCTGTGATTGTCCACAATAATGTACTACTTTCGTTTCTCTATACAATACCTACCCGACATCTGTGGTCTAAAGTTATCGCCCCTTCCAAATTTTGGAGACAGCAGTCGCCTGTAAGGGCTCATTGTGGTGCCTCTGATGGGATGGTGCAGGTTGTTGCAGGAGTAGTCTGCACGACGTTTTTCATGCTCGTCACATGTTTTGATCTCCTGCGCGCAGTAACTAAAATTGGATTATGATATGTAAGTGACAATGTGCGACAAAGTTAAATCATCATTCATTCCATGGGTAAAATATTGACACTTGAACACGTCATTTTTTAAGCTACTGCACGTTCACTACGCTGACCTCCCTGAGAAATACGAGCAAGAAACTCTAGAAATTACTCTTTTCAAAGAAACTTAAATGCTATGGAATACACTTTGAACCATAATCACATCCCGGACACTCCATACAATGGTCGAAAATTATTTACCTACTACTACTACATACAGCAAGGCGCTATAGGCGGTTGGGGGCCCGTTTGGGTGCCCCGGTTGGGGCCCGGTTAGGACCCGGCTGGGGGGACCCGGTTGGGTTGCCCAGTTAGGGGCCAGTTAAGGGGCCTGTTGGCCCCCAACCGGGCAACCCAACCGGGGACTCCAACCGGGGACTCCAACCGGGGCCCCCAACCGGGGACCCCACTCGGGGCCCCCAACTGGGTCCCCCAACCGGGCCCCCGACCGGGCCCCTCATCCGGGGCCCCCAACCGGGCCCCCCGACCGGCCCCCCGACGGGCCCCCCGACAGGCCCTCCGACGGGCCCCCCAACAGGCCCCCCCAACCGGCCGGAATTGATTTTAATTGCAAATTTAATTGCAATTAAAATCAATTCAATTGAAATCAATTGCAATTAAAATCAATTGCAATTAAAATCAATTGCAATTGAATTGATTTTTTAATCTGATTGAATTATTGATTGAAATTTAATTGATTAACGCCCAACACTGTTTGCTTGTAGTGCCTATAGCACCGCGCAGTTATCTTAGGAACCGACTCAGTTAGGGCGCGTTCCCACTATGTTGTGACGACAGATTGTCGTGCGGTTTACAGTGTCGTGGCTTGTATATTTAAATGAAGTTGTTCACATATAGCACGACACGATTCACTGTCGTTCACGATTTTTTATCGTTACAACGACAAACTGTCGTCACAGTGGGAACAGCTAGAACGACAGTCGTCTGACGATAAAAAAACGTGACGACATAGTGGGAACGGACTGGATTTTTTGTCAAAGTCAAATAATCGTTTATTCCATAGTCATTTTTTAAACTACTCAAACTAATCTAGACGAGACAAGACTCCGTTAGCAGAGTTTAATCTGCTAGCTAAGGAAGATATATGTGGAAACCATTGAAGTTTACTATCTAAGGTCACTCCCAAAAATACAGCTTTATTAACAAAGTCTAACTTTTCTCCATTTATTTCTATGATTGGACTAGTCGATTTTACATTAGGTAATTCAAATTTAACACACTCTCTTCTTGGCATTGAGCAATAAATTGTTAGCATTTTTATACTTACGGGACCAGTCCCAAGGCTTGGTACTCGGCGTACTTGAAAGGCGATATCTGCTTCCCAGAGTAGGTCTCGTAGAATTCCCCGGCCACTGTCGCCAGTAGCCACAGCAGGACTGCTGACAGGGCCCAGGTGCGATGCATCTTGTGAAATAAAGAAACAGTTAGCAACAAGTAGATCTGTGTCGATCAAATTTTTTCGGGTTTTTTTTATAATATCAAGTGACGGGACGCATGTCCATAACAGTTGCAGTGCCACTCAGAGCTAAAATCGAGCAAATCTGCGCGGCACTTCAACTACGCCCGTCACTCTCAGACATAAGTTGACAAGTCCCATGTGCCTGTAATTTCACCAGCACCCTTACCCTTCAAAACCGAAACGCAGTAATGCTAACATTACTTGTTGGCGACTGAAACACGATGTAGTACATCCCTGGACGAACTCTTTTGTGGAGCTTATACATTTATAGTTCAAAACGTTCAAAACAATTACGAATGGTACATTGACTTACAATTATATGGACGTCGGGTCCGCGCTAAAAAGTGTCCGAACTTAGGTGTGGTATGCGTCTACGGCTGCATGTATCGCGTGAGCGGGTATGGAATAAATTTTTGTGGACCGTTTAGAATGTTTAAATTGTTTAATGGTATTTCAACTGTACATCTTTAGGGTAAGTTCCGATAAGCCGAACATGTTAACTAATCTTTTGCTATTTAAACCGGATATTTGACCATTTGTCACTTACCCGCATTTTCACGTTCACGGTCACGGCACATTAGCTGTTTACAATCTTTTCATACGTTACTAAGTGACGAACATTCGAAAATGTCTAATCAATCATTTACATTGACTTACAATTATATGGACGTCGGGTCCGCGCTAAAAAGTGTCCGAACTTATAGGGCGTTAAAATCGTATACAGAGCGTCATTCACGCTCTAGTCTTCGTTTGTTCGACTGACAGCGAAGCAAGCAAAATTAGACAGTACTGCGATGACATTACAATTTAAAAGCTTTTTCATATTCCTTTACATGTCACTACGTTTAAATAGGTTGACTTGGGACATTTTTTCGTGGTTTTTGTATTAGACCCGTCGTCCATTTATTTGTAAGTCAATGGAATGGTACCAATAAATATATATTTTCGTTTGTAAATGGATTGTAATATGTCGAAGCAACGTCACTTCTTTAGTAGAGCACTGGATTGCATATTGAAGGGAATGTTGAGTAGACATAAGATTCTTTACATTGTAATTGAATTATTGTTTAATATCTAAAATTGGACATAGTTATGCAAACAAGAAGTAACCCACACTTCGAGTGAAATTGAGTTATGTATTGAGGTAGAACACCAGACGTGTCCCTTACTCGCTTACAAAAGTTTCTGACAATATACCAAGCCAAACGGAGAAAATAAAAATTATTCAGGGTACCATCCCTAAATAAGTAACTTTTTAATAGCTAAAAAGATGCTGATTAACTTCATATAATGTATGTTTTATATCTTTAGCGTTTTCATTACGACAACTAGAACATGGTTCTCGTTAACTAAATAATGTATAATAATGATGTAAAAGATACATAATGTTTTCTATTTATTGCTATATAATATAATAGTTTCCCTATATCATTCTCAATGCTACACATAACTCACGTTGTTTGTCTCAAATAAGTTACCTATATGTTTTTTTACAAAAATTTACGAGAGAAATAATCTCTCGTGAGTTTGGGTATAATTTGCGGTTGTCTATGTTTGTGTCCATAGCACCTACGATACAGGGTTCCCCTAGTGCGGGGCTATGAGTGTTCGTTATTATATCGTTACGTAAATTTCTAACCAATAAGAAAGAAGAAGCCTAATTAACCCCGTTTCGCGCACTTTCCGATAACCGACTTCAATAAAACTTGACAAATAGATGTAATTCCACGAACGTTAGAGGTTTTTTTTTTGTTTTATAAAAAGTTATTTAATTACTGACCGTTACTGAGATCCTTAGCAGGAAATATCACTGGTTTGGAGCAAATGGAATCTGTTAACTTTTATTGTTTTTAACAAAAATGTATATTACACCGTTGTAAGCGTAAGCATACAAACGGTGTATTTGAAATCAATCATTGACTGTCGTTCCTTAAATGTTCAGCAGTTAATCGTAGAAAATCCTGTAAATAAATTGGTTCATGGCTTGGGAAGTCTGATTGATTGTACGTTATCACGCTCGCTAAATATTATAATTATTAAACTATCAAATAACTGTTACAACTTCACTACATTTAATCAGGGCTGACTCGTCAAAAGATTCCACTTTTAATAAATATCCATTCTCTAGTCGGGGCTGGTAGCTGTAAAGGTGTCTAAGTGGGTGGCGAAATATCATAGATTTCTCATAGATGGCGCTACGGCTAAAAAGTCGTTGAAAAACTAGATACAAAGATACGACGCAAGCGCATAGAAAAATTCGTGGGGTTCGCTGATTCGTTCCGCGGTTTAGTTAGTGCGTCTGGCGCGGTATGCTATTTAACAAGAGAGCGTTGCGGCGTGAAAGAAGATGTATGTCTGGGCCGTCACAGTACCGTATTGTTTTCACCGTACGCCAGCCATGGTTCACACGGCATTGTCCTGCATGTATTAGATTATAAACGGATAGACAGCGGGGTGTTCAACATTTATATGCAAACGTTATTTCGGACATACAAATTTTCGATTTTGTGATAGGTTACCCCACTAAAGATATCAATCGGGGGCGCGCATCAGCCCGGGATCCCTCAGTATGGGCGGCAGAGCCTTCGTCAACCTCCAGCCCCTAGTTAAGCACGACGATATTCCCTCTCATCACTAGCCACTGGGGCGTTTAACGCTTGAACGCTTCTGCGGGGCATTCGAACCCCATCTTGCTTTCTGGGGAAAGATTTCCTCTCCTTATCGAGCCCACCAGTAATGAGCGTAACACTCAGTGGCACAACCCTAGTAAAATTTTCCTCCAACATTGTTTGCTTACTATGAAACTATAGTACCGACATGAAATGAATGTTTCATGCATAAATTTGAATGATTTATGCAATTCATAATTGCATAAGGGCTTCTCTTTATTTATTTATTGTTCGTTAACACGAAGGTTCTTGTCATACAATACTCTGATGTCTCTAATTTGATCACATTCTTGAATTGGATAGTTATTGATGTACCAGATTCTGATGACACTTAGACAAATTGAAATTTGTAGTGGGCAACATCGATATAGTAGGAAAAAGTTTACTAAGTTTAAGTTGAATTGATCTATCCTCGAACATTTTTAAGATCTGTTTGAATTTGTGTGTGAGAAAGGCGAGTCATTTCTGACGCATTTGAAAATGAAACAAAAATATATCTGTTAATTACATTGTGGATGATTTGTTGTGAAGTAACTCGCATTTACGCCATTTAGTCTTGCCGACCAGCGCTACTCTTCTTCCCATCCTTATCCCACGCTAGGTGGCGGCACAACATGTATTTTTCTTCCACTCTCCCCTATCAGCCGTCATTTTTATACTCGCACCTTTCTTCCACATACGTACGGTGCTGGGTCTGCGCGTCGCGTGAGGGGTTCATGTATCATGGTCACTATTATCCTTCACTCTTGAATATATGTTGTAAAGGGATTTGGCATGGTGTTTTATGACCGGCCGCCTGCCTGACGTGAACCCTCCTTGGGAATACTTGACCAGCACTACAACTCTCAACAACAAAAATTACATACCACATACATTGATTTGGTTTCACTAAAATTTTAAAGATCAAGTTTACTTACGGAAATGGAACCACTATTCGGCAACATTTAAGAGCCGGTTCTAAATCGTGAATTGTGACTTAGATGCACGTGATTCGTCGCTGATTTTGCAACAAACATTGTTACAATGTTTAAATAAATAAATAAATAAATAACGCACACACTCAACATAGCCCCGCACTAGGGAAACCCTGTGTCGCGGGTGCCATGGACACACACATAGACAACCACAAATTACACCCAAACTGACGAGAGAAATAAATGTAAGCTATACAAACATTTCTCCCGGCCCGGGAATCGAACCTGGGACCTCTGCGTGGCAGTCCGGCATGGAAACCGTTCGGCCACGGAGGCAGTTTGTTTGTTTTGTAATTAAAAGTCTTGCTGTTTTTCCCACACCACCGAATGGAACAGCACGGCATTATTAGAGATATTACCTTTATTGCAATAAATACAGAATATTTTTGGAATATACGGAGACGTACACACAGGTCAGTTGTTGGCGGTGTAGCATTTCAGCAAACGAGAGTTGATATTTAAAAGTAATATAAGGCCCATTTGCCTAATGAGTTGCCAGGTATGGATGGCCCTTACTTTTTCTCCATTTCTGGTTATATACTCGATGACCTATACCATTGTAATATTTGTTTTAACGTTTATCACCTGAGTAAATTTGAATTTAGCTAAGAAAGGTGTTCAGTTTTCGCCCAAATTGTGTACTAAGATACAACTTACGTCAAAAAAATTGTTTATGAAAGGATGCATTATTTTTTAACTTCGATAAAAATTGCTGAAAAATTTCATTCTACAATTATAAGAATAAACGATACTGCGTTCGACGAACCGTGCAATGTCGTCATTTGACAGCTGTCATTGCAGCTAATGATCGGTTTCGATCGAGAGAATATCCGTAAAGAGTTGCCGAAAGTTAATGATGAAGTATATCAAAACACAAATAGTAACACTGTAGAGCTTAGAAAATGGAAAAAAAACTCCTGAGACTCAAAATTTCTCGTCGGCGAGTCGACCGCGTAATGAAGTGACAATTAAATAGGATTTAATAGCTTGGAACATAGTCTTTTAGCCAACATTATTAGATATTGTTATAATGGTAATAATGGGTTCGTAATTAACAAGAATTATTGGATATTCTTTACAAACGATTAGACCATTTGAAGCATAGACACACAATAATTACATATACCATATATAATTATTGTGTTGTCAGTCATAATGTGCGAACGATAATTTCGAGCGGTACAAGTGATTGATCAATTCTTTTTTATTTTTTATAAATTAACCGTATTTATTTATTCAATAATAAGTGGCCATTTTTAAGTCTGTTCCATTTCCGTTCACCATCATCATCATCCACAGCCT